TTGATTTTTCAGCCTACACATGCTTTTACTTGTTTGTGATCTTATCTTACTCAAATTTCAGAACCACACAATTGACTGCTAAGATAAAGAATGCAAAATTATTCACCCAGTTTGGCTTCAGACAAACAAATGGAACTCAACACAAACAAAGAGAGTTGTATCCAAGCATTATTTGCCTGAGTTCTTAATATTTCAATACTTTGTGGAAAAAGCAAGTTGGGTAACAAGCTGTTTTGACTTCACTTCCAGTACACTTTCTGGTTTCTCTAGTCTCCAAAGCCAAGAATCCAGTCTAAAGATGCCACAAAGCTTCAGCATGCTTAGGGCAAGACAGTGCTGTGTTCTTTTTCAATCTTTTGTTGCTACACTTTGGAATAAAATAAAAATTTTACCATAGTGTATAAAATAAAAGCAGTCTAAGATGTTACCTAAATCCCCCACACTTATTTCATATGTGATTTATGCTTAGAGGAAAGAACCTTGAGTTGGAACTGGTTACATTTGCATTTTCTGCTGAAATAATTCTGAGCTTGAAGCATGTAATTGGGAGCACCCCGCTTGGACAAATTTTCAGCAATCAGAGCTGCAGTCTGATTGAAATCTCCCCAAAATGGGGCACCTCAGCCACCAGGTCTCTGGTCTTCAACCTGTTGACAAATGGCCTGGGCACAGAGCATCCAGATCATCCATCTCAGTGTCAGCTGACACAACTTCCTCAAAGAACAATTGGGATTTTTCTAGGAAAACTCAACCCTTGCAAGTGCCCATCCTGGCATGAGACTGTTGCTCCACTGTTATGTAGGAAATGGGACCAGCTTTGTGGAGAGCAGCCTCTTGCCTGCTCCGGGTTATTGAACCAGCAGCTTGAAAGCCAAGCTCCCACAGCCCCAGAAACATCCTAAGAGTCTGCAAGCCTGAACTGTGGCCCTGTGAAGGACTGCACTTTCGAGCTAAGTAAAATATTTTTGATTAATTGTCTTCATTTTGTAGCAACTTGTTTGTCTGCATCAGTACCAGGGGGGGACAGGACCTGACTTTTTGAACAACTTTTGTTTGTCCCCAGCAGGCCTTGATACTCCTTGCCCATGTTATGCAAGGCTGGCCTACCCTGCAGGTGACAGAATTGTCTGAAGAACTAACACCACCTTTCTTTACAGACAGGGCCACTCTTTCAATGCCAACTGAATGGAAAGTGTTTGTCCATTTCTGTTTTCTTTTAACTTCCTCTGCAGAGATCTGGAGAGTACCTGCCTATAAATACTTGCTTATAGGGTACTTGGGAAACTACTGTCTTCCACAGGGATCATGTTTTCAAGTAATATTTTACAGAGGGGTAATAAAGGACCTGAATTTAATTTTTCTGCATCAGCATGTCAGTCATTCATTACTTTGACCAGGTGGAAAAGTCTCATCACAAAATAAAGGCAGCAGTATAAAGTGATGGTTTCAGAGAAAGCAGGATCCCAAAGCTAAAGGGCTCACAGTGTAATGGAGATATGCAATCTTTTCCAAATCAAAATAAGTAGTGATATCCACCAAATATGATATGCAAATTTTCAAGCCTTACTATAAAAACTTTTCCATTCAATTCTGAATGTGTTTCAGACTGGTCTATGAAGCAAAAAATATGTATTAAAACAGAGACTAGAATGTGTGACTGAATTCCAATTCAGTCTTTGCAACTGAATTCCAGACGTCATAGAATGATTTTCAAGATGTTACTCAAAGCAATGGAATATGTATTTAAAAGCAAGCTTAATCTTGACTGCATTTTGAATGAAAACATTCAGAAATTCATGCTAATGCATTTTTTTATTACACTTTAATTTTTTTACAGTATTCAAAAAAACAATTGGAAATTAAAGGCTGCAGTCCTGCAAATATCACCATTAACTTTAATAAAACTACCAGCATGCTGTTAGGGGCTGCTAAGTACCAGAATTAATAAATGTATATTTTCTTAAAAGTCTTTGCTGAAGCGGTACAAAACTGTGTCAGCATTAACAATGAAATCCTTCCAATTTTTCAAGATGTTGTTGAAAGTATCATGAATTTTTGAATACACATATCAATCAAAACAACCAGCCAAAAAAATTAAAGTTTTGGGAAAGACCAGACCTTTATTTGACAATACACTGCACAGAAATGGTTAGGACTCCCTGAAATGGATGCAAAAGATTTGCTGTGAACAGCTCACTTTGCTTTTGAGAAGTACAAGAGACAAAGAGTATTCCCAAAAAAATCACCATGTGTTTCACAGCCCCTAGAGAACATGGAAAAAAGACTTTAGAAATGTTTGTCCAGAGAAAGCACATAGAGAGTTTAAATCAGTTTCAGTAAACCTTGTAATAAGTCTCACTGTATTATTTTAAAGATTATTTAAGAAACTTAACCTATAATAGTAGTTTTTACAGTACTGTCATTCCTGAGTAAGAATTACTAATTTCTTGGTGCTGTTAATATACATTTGCTAATTGGAAAATGGTGGTCAGAGAGAATGTCAGAATTTTTTTTTTTAATCTTGTGCTTTACTTAGCCATTTTTCCTCTTTTGGGTGAAACAGTAGTGGTAGCTTTCATTCTTTGCCCTCATTACTCCATGAAATTATTATTCTGTGTGTGATTATCTTTCAGTCCAGATTGTACCTCACTCATGACACAAGGGTGGTAGGAGCATTCTGCCAGAAAGCAAAAGAAAAAAAGCTATAGAAGGACTATCTAAGTGAAAATGTTTGCAAGTCAAAGGGAGGGCACGTTTAACTTCACAAAAGAAAATGCTGGTTTCTGTTGTAATATTGGTTACACAATCACATAAGGTTTTATTTTTAAAAGCAAGTAAAAAAATTATAGTGCATCAGCTCTTTGACTGGTGTAAATCAAGATGGTTTTATTGACTTTGATGGAGCTATGTCGATTTATACCAGATGAGGATTTGGCCTACTGTATGGAGATATTTTTATTTCTCTTCTCACTCTATCAGTTAAAGAAAGGGTAATAATCAGCAAGCTGGAAGCAATTATGCGTGTGTGAGGAGGGGGTAGTTTCATAATAGCTAACTTGATATTATTTCCTGTAAAATGCATCAGGAGACTAAAGCCTGGAGCCTGCTGACCAGTTTGTTTTGTAAAGAAATATTTGTTCAAATCTGTTTATAATAATTTGTCAAATTATGGGCAGATTCAGCTGAAGCACTTGCCTTCCACTGACACCAGAGGCAGCAGTTCTGGAGCTGATCAGGGCACCAAGTGGCGCCCATAAGGGAAGACCCAGGCAAAATTTGGCTTTCACTTGCATCCGTGTAAATCTGGAATAATTCTACCAAAATCAGTGGAAATATTTTCTATTTACAAGTGTGCCTAAAAGCAAAATTTGGCACCATCTTCAACTGAGCATTTATAAGCTGTTTCTGGCAACAAATAAGGATGGGGGAGGGGAAGATTATTCATTGCAGATGCTTTGTAAGATTACCAGAGGCTTTCTGGTGACAATAAAGTCTACTAACATAGGCACTTTTGGAAAATGCTTTTGAAAATGTGATTTGAGGGTGTTTCCTGTTATCTTTTAATTCTTACATCATTTCATGGTGGTAAAAAATACTAACTAAGACCTCAAGTGAAATTACTTAAATTGTTCTCCTTACTGTGGTGAGGCAGATGAGTCCCAACCTGCAATACCAAGTGGACCAAAGCAATTCATGGCAAGCTAAGATTTCTGTGAAATCATCTTGGATGAATGCATTTCATAAGGTGCAGTTTAATTATTGTTAAGCAGCCACACATTGACAAGGGAGCTGAAGACAAAACAATCACAACTAAAATAAACTGAAAGACTTATGAATTTATTTTTAAGTTACAATGCAGATTATTCTAAAGTACCAATATTAGCACTATGAACACTAAAGTATACCAACCAGCTTTTGCAATATAGCTCATTCATCTGATCTCTTTGCTCTCAGGAATTATTTAATTTTTGCAATGTTTTTGTGATGTTTTAACTTAAGAATATAAATAAAGTGACTCCCTGCCCCACTAGGGTGAACATAGTTATACTAGGCTAATGGTGCTTTTAGCACTATAGCTTATACATATTTAACTACCTCTTTTTGAACTGATCTACAGGTAAATGAATCCCAAAACCAGCATGTAGGTGAACCCTGAGTTCGGAAATTATTATGCATAAGTGCAGCTCTTGCCCCAACTAGGGAGAGCCCCAAGGAGCCCTTCATCCCTGCACGGCCCTCTCCAGCCCTCCCTGCTGTGTCTCCCTAGAAGAGGGCAGGTAGCCTATTCATCAGGCCCTGGACTTGGATTTGAAGTATGTACATGTCTACCATTTCCTGGATCCTTTGGAAGCAAGGAAGTAGCAGAAAATTTCCAGGGAAAATTTGCTTATTTTGGGATTATTTTTTTTAATAGCTTCAATGAAACTGTCTTAAAACCAAAACAAGGCGTTGTTTCAGCTAGGGCAGGTGATGGCATTGTGACATTGAATTTAAATCCACCTTCCTGTAGTGAATATGGAACTTTACCTAGAAAGTGCTGCCTGGTTTATTCTGTGTGATGCTTCAATGCATCGTTCACTAATTGTCTTACTCAGTTTTCCAGCTATGCATGGAAATTCATGGAGTGTTTTTTCCCAGTAAGTTTCAAATGTATATGCTGTTCTACACTGAAAAAGATAACTGTGAGGTCATTATCATCTTTTCTAGTGAGAACATAGACTAGAAAAATTAATTAAATAATGTAACCAGCAGCTACATTGATTGACTGAATTTCTATGATTATATCTGTGTACATAGGGACATGTGTTATATGTATAAATGAATTATTCTATTTTTTATAAATGCATGCACTCAACTCTTTTTACTATTTAATATATTGCACAAAATATAACTGCTTACAGACAGTATTCCTAAAATCAATACCACAAAATCAATTCACACTAAGAATAATTTAAAAGGATGAGAAAACTTTGATTATTTTTCTGTTTAGGTTTCAGATCTTTACAGGGAAAAAAAAAAAAAAAGATTAAAAGATCTCTTTCAAACCTGGTGTGTGCTGTAAAGATGATGTTCCAGCTAATTTTGACGTGGACAGAGGTTACAACTGAAGTCAGGAATAGAGAGAAGATTAAATTCTAAACCATGACCCTGTTTTCATAGCAACGTATTAAGGAAACAGAATGACATACCTAAACCAAAGCATTTCTAAGTAAAGGCATCTGTCAGATTTTTCCATGAGCTATAGGCAGTTTATGATGTACTGTGATGGTCAGATTTCTGCATTTTAGTATTGTTCAGCTTTCACGGTAAGTGGTCTAAAGCCTGAAGATGAATTTCAGAGATAAACTGAACAGTAGCCAGAAAAAAGGTTAATATCACGGAAGTAACAGGTTTATATGTGTCAGCTAACTTGAGAAAAAACTAGAAGAGGTGATCATTAAATCAAGTGAAGCTTGAATGTATGAATGAATTTGAGTTTGGTGTTAAACTACATCGAGGGTCAGGTACTACACCAATATCTAATCCTGTACATACCACTGGAGTTGGTGCTTAGAGCAGCAGAACTTCATGTTGTAAGCACAAGTTCTCATGGGGAATATCTGTGGCATACACTGCATCCCTGTTTTGTCCTGACCAGGGACCAAGATAATCCTGTCACCAGGGAGAGCTGAAGTCTGCTGAGAGATCTCTAAAAGCCACCTCTTGTGGTCCTGCAGGAACCACTGCTAATCACTTGAGGCTTTGTTCACTTGCTGTTACCCAGATGCAGAAGAGGACCCAAGCAGCAGCTGAACCCCCTAGCCAGGAAGGACTTGGGTAAAAACTGACAAAAGTACCAGATTTCCCTTCCAAGTGCTCTAGCCTGATCTGAGAAGAAATATTAATCATATCTTTACTGTCTAAAATAGAGAAATAGAGTTCAGCTATTCTGAGATACATATTTAAGGTTCTGGAGGCCTCACAATTTATTTTTTTTTTAATTGTTCTTTCATTGGTTAGTTGGATTTGGTTGATTTTTTTTTCTTTAACTACACATGTAATTAACTGGTTTACCAGTTAGAAATAAATCTTTGAAAGCAAGAGACATCCACCTCTTTACAGTTACCATGCTCCCTTAGGTATTATGAAGAGTGGAACAAATAGGGCTGGAAGAGATCTCTGAGGGTCATCTATTCAAACACAGGTTGAAATAGCAAAGATAAAATTGCTGGAATATTTTCACTCATATTATCTGTTTCTAGTGTGCAGCCTGAATCTGACTCTACTACAAGGTTTTACTAAATGCATTACTGTGGGACTTAAGAGTTCCTCTGGAAGAAATGCAAACAGAAGTGGAAGTAACAGAATGACCTCTAAATGCTATTGCTCAGCTTGATTTCCAATTGAGTATCAGTTTAAAAATTTAATTTGTAAATTTCGGTTAGTCCCGAAATTTAAGAAGCTAGTGTCAAAGCCCATAGAGCCTGAGACCAAGTACAGTCTAATTACCAGGCTGGAATTTTTAAATTACTGCAGATAAGAGTATTGGGGGAAAACTGTCATGATTCAGAATTCAGAAACCACATCCTCCCTATTCTCTGGCCATCCCACTCAGCCTGTGAGAGGGAGTGTTCAGAGTGGAGTAAGTGAAGGCAGATAACCACATCCCCAATCTGCTGTCATCCTCAGACAGCAGAATTTCCGATGATGTGCCTTCTGCTTACCAAAGACAAGTGATCAAATCAAAGAGGGTTTAAGTAACCTCACTTGTCAACAGGTGCCTTCACCATAATTACTTGTTGGCCTTTTGCCAACAGGCAAAATTTCAATTGGCTTTTTAGCAAATTTCTGCCATATCTCCACTTAGAAAACTCAAGATGAAATCAGCTAAAATGTGTACAATTTAAGACATCTTAAATTCTACACAGCTCCTCTCATTCAAGAGCAAAGGATCTGCAAAACTCTAACATATCTCCCCTACTTAGGTATCACAGTCACAAATCTCTTTCGCCAGGTAGCAGAACAGGATTTGAGCATTTGTGAGGGAAATTCTCATTTACAGCTTTGTGTTTTTGCACAAGCCCACCGTTGTTACTGGCTTAATACAAAACCCTGGGCTGTGAACAGGAAGGGATGAGGTGTGTTACCCACCTTGCTCCACTCTGCAGGGAAAAGTAGCAAGCTGCTCATGCTAATGCACTGAACTGCTTGGCTAGATTTGGCAGACATGCCTATCCAAGTTTTGGTTCATTATGAGCAGATCCTACTAAGTAGCATCAAACTAAAGCCGCTTGATTTGAACTGGAAACCTCCATCTTGGGACTGAATGCATTTTAAAGGCCCTGACAGATGGGCTCTGCCGAGTGAACAGCAGCAATCTGTAACGCTTTAGCTCCCCCATGTCTGCTGTGCCCTCTCCCAGTGCCGTCTGTCCCAGCAGCAGGGGAAACGAGCAGATGCTGGGAAGGGCACAGAAGGCCTGTGCAGGGTGAGGCAGCAAGCCCCTGCTTTGGCCACTGCTAGGGCAAGGGCCCTGGCAGTGAGGCGTGGGAGATGGCAGGCAGACAACGTGTAACCATCGCTGCTAAACACTTACCTGATTTGCCAAAACCTGCTGTAGCTGCCTCGTGTGGCACCTTCTTCACACGCATAATTATTTGACCACAGTCAAAGTTTTTGCTTAAAGCAAAGAATATGAGAGTGCTGGTGCAGTGCAGGAGGAGAGCAGAATGTGTTTTAAAGCCTTTTCACAGCTTTGATCTGAAACCTTTTGGTTTCCAGTTAAACCCATCTTGCTCTGCCAGCAGCAATCCTCACAGGAACACAAACAAGGGCCCTGTCTCCTCCCTCTTGCAACACTCACACCCTCTGTGTCTGGGCTTACCTGCCAAATTTTGTGCATCTCTGTGTCTGGCACCTATGCAAATTAAGCAATCTGTGTCTAATGTGTACATTGTCATAAATATGATTTCTGAAAAAAACACTGGCAGGGGTGTTTAAAAGTATTAGGCTGAGCCTTGTCTTTGCAGGGAGAGCTCCTAAGACCAGGGTCTGAGTGCACTGGAGATGGGAAAGAGCCTTCTTGATAGCCAGTCTGGAAACCTTTCTCTGGAAAACACAGGTAACAGGTGCATCCAATGGCTCCTAGGGGTCTCTTCCAGCTCAGGATTTTCACTGGCCAATGAGCATAGCAGTGGAAGACCAGAACTTTATAGAGGGCTGTTACCCGTGGAAGGAGGAGTGTTGACTGCTATCCCATGCTATACACTCATTAGGTGCTGCCAGAACTCTGCTGATTTCTTGCTACCTCTTCCCCCTAATCCACCTCTTCCTCTTGATTGGATGTCAGTGCTCTAAAACTGTCCTGGGAACAGGGAGCACACAGAGGAGAAAGGGATGGCTGTCCATCAGCTGTGCATCACCCCAGCTCCCAGGGACAGATATGTAGACTCCTTGCCTGGAAAAATCTTCCCCTAATTCTTTAAGAACAAGCCCTCCTGTTGCTGATTTCTCCTAATTTTCCTCCTGCCTTGCCCCTTCCCCACCTCACAGGAAGACTGGTTGGGAACTAATATCCAGGTGAACCAGTTTGGGCAGAAAGAGATCCCAGTCTATTGACCTCTGTACTCCAACTTCCCTCACCAAGGGGTGAGGTAATTGGATAGCTCATATACCTTTCTGACAACATTGTAGGAAGAGTAAAGGAAACATAACAGGGAGAGGTGGGATGGTTCTGCAAGGCAGGGGAGAAAAAACAGGTCAGGTCATGCCAGAAGCAAAGTGAGAATTTATGGGGAGAAGTCCTCACTGACTTAGCAAACTCAATGGCAGCAGCCACAGACAGATGGCTGCTCAGGGCTGGGAGTGATGGAAAGGGCTCAGCTGTGGGGCAGTGCTGAACAGGGCTGAGCACTAGGCTCAGGTCATTGCTGCATCTGGAGGCCTTACCTCCTCTCTGGGGCACTGAGCAGTGTATGATTGCTCTTCCCACCAGACAGCCACCAGGCTGCTCTGGTGATGCTGAGAAGTTTGCACCTTGTTTCTCCTGTGCTGTGATCACAGCAGTAAGATGATCACATGTAAGGTGATTCCCATGCACTGGAAATACTTGTTTTGGAGCCTAGATATCTCTGACAGTTAATTTAGGCTGTGAGCAGGGATATCATCCACACACACAGGATATTTGTCTGCTCTCCTCTCTGCCAAGGCCCTTCATTACTATTAAGGCCTACATGGGGAAGAGACAGAATTAGTTTCTGACCAGCTCTGTCTTCTCCATTCCCTCCATGCCCTTTGCAGCCACTTGCATGAAGGATGAAGGAATAATCCCAAGTCTGGATACCACATCACTGTAGCTGCAAGAGAGTAAAATAAAGTAAATCCTTATTAGTGAAAGGCAATTAGCTCTGGGTTGAATGGTCTGCTTCAAAGTCTCAGTAAAATACATCTTTCTAGCTACTAAATACTCATCCCTATTATCTGTGAGAGCTAAACCATATGCACAGTTATGATTAAATGTGGGTACTGCAACTAACTTCTGTTAATTTAGAGCAGGACTATCAACTCAAAGCAGTAAGTGGTAAGAACATTCTTCTGTTACGAGAGTTTCAGGGTGACATCAACTGTTTTGCATGCAAAGTTTGGGTGAAACAATTGACCAGGAAAGAAAACCCCACTGAACAAAACCAAAAACAAGACACAACCAGGAAGAGAAAACTAATGCAGTGTTGGATTTTATATCATACATGTACAGTAAAAGAGGATCTGTTTGAAAGGGATTGGGAAATTTTACAGAAACCATCTTGTTATCTATTTAAGTAAAACCAGACCTAATTATCAGGCTGTGCTCAGTCATGCTGCTCCTGTTAGCACAGCCTTCTCTGAAAGTGAGCACAAATCAAGTAATTTTAGGGTTCCTCTTACCTGCAGAAAAATCTGAGGATGGAAAGGAAGAAAATAGTAGCCTTAAGAGGTATTTTCAGCCTTCTAGACATTAGCTGGTAGTAGAGACCACGGGGCTGCTAACCAAATCACGTTTGGCTATTCTGCAATTTTAAATATTATTTAATTAGAGCAAGCAAATACAGATAATGCAGAAATTCAAAGGTACCTCAAATCCATTTTTGTACTTTCTCTCTCAGCACATATCTTTGGCTGTAGCTCAGGGTCTGAACATCTGTGCATGAACTGGTTTAAAGATCCATCTTCAGAAATCTCGATGCTCAGAGTTGAAGGTGGAGAGCCAATACTCAGATGAGAACTGGAGGAAATTCAGTGAAGTCTTGCACACACAGAGTTACACCAGTAGGCAGCCAAACCAGCCCACCCCTCTTTAATTGTATCTAACAATTCCCATGCTCAGGACCATCTAATGGGTCACGGTGGCTCTTACATTGTGTCAACTTTGTACTGCAGAGATACTCCAGTTCACTCTGTTACCTGATGGGAAGGGATGAGAGGCTTGCAGCAGCCCCATTTGCTGGTGCCAGCCTTCTGGCACCTAAGCTAGCAGGTCTCCCATTTCCATGCACGCCTGAGGCACTGGTTCCAGGGCAGCAGTGCAGCAAACCTCACTGCAGAGACACACCAGCATCTGAGTCGAGGCATGGACCAGAACACAGGCTGAAAACTTCAGGGCATGAGCTGAGGTTCCTCTCCAAAGCTGTCACTCATCAGGAAGCATTAAGCAAGAGCCAGGGGAGTCAGAGTTAGAAAACAACCCTGTAAAAGAAGCAGAACATAGCAAAGCTGGCAGCAGCCAGGGACAGGCCAAGAGGCTGGATCACACCAGTGCACAGGAAGAGCTGAAAAGGGAGGAGCAGGGACCATGCAGCAGCAGCATGAAGCGGCCTGACAGCTGGATCTAGGAGCAGAAGATGCTGTACTCAGAGTCTGCGTGGAAAAAAAAAAAGCTATAGCTGAAAGGTAACTTCCCAGCTATATTCCCCAGCTGAGCATATGCAAGTAAAAAGGCAGAGGCAGCACTAGAAGCTGCTATTAACACCATCACAGCTAAATGTCAGAAGTAGCCTAGAGAGGGAACTTCACTCTGCAAAATGCATAGCTGTGAAATCCATCGACAAAACTGATGTCTGCTTCTATTAGTACCACAACAGCAGTTTGACCTAAATAGTAATTTCTGTTTGGCATTGAAAGACAAACAGGAATAAGGTCCAAAATATGAGTCATTAAAAATAAAAAAGGCCAACTACATGTACTGTACTCCACTCCTTCCCAAAAGGGGGCCAAAAGCTGTACATATTTGGGATTCTTCCATAGCAAATCTTAATGCCACCTCAGAATTTTTGGCTGACACCTTGATGACACAGAAGTAGAGAGTCAGCCTATGACACAGAGATTTTAAATAGACAGTGGTGGTCCTTACTAATTTCAGTAAGTGCATTAAGAAACACAGACTCACAGTGTTGCAACACCACATGTTGTGCTCACACATGCGGCAGTTTTGACCATAAAATCCTTGAATGCTTGGCAACCCCCTCATTGCCTGGCTCTGGTTTGGATTTTTTTGCTGATGACCTTTTGGGTTATTGCCCTGGCAAGAATGGAGAGCTGACAATGACCTACCAGTCACTAGTTCAGTCTTTCTAACATACACAAGTGAGAAAGAATCAGTGGAAATGCCCAAGATGCTCCTGTGTAGACTTCTGAGAGTGACACCCCTAGTGCATATATGCAACATAGTAGTTCAAGATTACTTGAGCTTACTAGCTCAAATAATTGTTCTTCTTAATTACCACAGCTCCTAACTGAAATGTACTTACTATTCAAAATGCTTTCAAAATTACAAAGCTGATGTACTTGTTTAGTTACATCCTCAGCATGTACACCTTACACAGGACTGAAAGAAAACATGCAGGCATCTGTGATCTCGAGTAGAGAATACATCCAACCCCAGTTGGTTGGCAAGCACTTCCACAACATCATGCTTAAGTCTCCTTATAAGATACTAAGTCTGATGTTTTGTTAACTTTCTGTTTAGATTACTATTAAAATTAGTAATTTTTTCTTTGTTAGTTTCTTTGTTCAAGCAGTTGGAAGCAGGCAGCTCCACCCAAATTCTTCATTACACCAGTGCCCTTAAAATGTTTATCTGTGTGTCAGCTTGGTGCTTGTGTCTTAAAATTGTTTTGCCAGGAAACCGTCAGTGATGTTCTGTTCCCCTCCCTTAGCCCCTACCCCGCCAGTAAATTGTGTACTACTTATCTTCTTAATGTCATTTTTAAAATAGAGATTATTTATTTTAACGGCTATCTATTTTCATGCTCCCAATTTTAAGTCCCTAAAAATACTGACCACAAAAAATGCACTCAGCAATCCTACAGCAGACCACGTTTGTGTAATTACCTCGTTTACACAATCACAATAACTACACAAAATTCAATGCCCCATCTGAAAAATAGGAAATATTATTTCCTTTCTTCTACCTTTGTCTACGTACATAGCTGACTCTTGAGGATAAGCAGAGTCTCATTATGTTGGTGGATATATATACACACATACACAATATATATGCTCACACAATACTGCAGATAATTGGGGCCTGATTTCTGTCAGGGCTGCTAGCAACTCTGGTAAATTATTGTACTTCAAATTTTGGCATGAAATCTCCTGCCAACTTTTCCCATCTTTGCTCTTTCCAGCTCAGGCTGACAGTTTTGGCTGGCTGCCTTCCCTGCTTGGGTAAAACCCTGGAAGCACAGCTGAGCAAAGATGCAGAACCTTCCCTCTCCCCCACCTGCCCCATAGGTGTTCGGTGGGGCTTGAGCCAGGTGATGGAAAGTAAACCATCACAGCCACATTCATAGAGAGAGGGACAGATCAGAAGAACCTGGACCTCTGATGCACCCTGTGATGAAGAATGAAAATGTTTTCTTCTTCTGTCCCACCACATGGAAGGAGGGGAGTCTGCAGAGAAGCATGAATGCAAAAATCCCCCAGACAGGGTCTCCAGGTAAAGTAGCACCACAGCCGTGGGAGCTGGGACATCACACAGGTCATGCACCAGAAAAAAAGGGGGGAAGCAAATGCTTAGTACAAAAGACTTACAACTAATAGTAAACTTCTGGGTTTGGGGTTTTAATATCTCTTTGTTGGATGGGGAATGACTCCAGCATAGAGAACTCCTACATTACAAGCTACAAGGGACACTGGAGGTGATCAGTTCTAACTAAGCCGTCCAGCATACTGCTACCTTGTTCCTGTTGGAAAAGACTCACCCCTAGGGTGACACAAACATGTCAATTTTTTAAGATATACAAGCTGCACTGAGTTTCTGCGAAGGAATTTAAAAAACATGTGCACTTAAGCATGATGTTCCATCTCCCTTCCCCAAAAACACTGTGTCACATTAATCTGCTCTCAAATAATGAATGAGTGGAAGTATAGACATTTCCAGGAGCATTTAACATGCATTTGTTGGAAAAGCAGCACTGCCTTCTTCTCCCACTTATTTCTACAATAAGCAGAGGGCTTGTGACAGCCCAAGGGCATATGAGAGGCCATTTGTTAAAATGCTGGCAAAGAGTACTGGCATTGTGCATGTCAACTCCTGCTTTACCAAGGGTGGGCAGGGGGCAGCCAGAGCCTGAGTCTGTTGTGAGGCCTCAGAGATGAGATGGAGCAGGGTCTGCTCTTTTCACTGGAGTCCTCACCAACCTGGACCTCTGATGCACCTTGTGATGAAGAATGAAAACTGTTTTCTTCTTCTGTCCCACCACATGGAAGGAGGGGAGTCTGCAGAGAAGCATGAATGCAAAAATCCCCCAGACAGGATCTCCAGGTAAAGTAGTACCACAGCTGTGGGAGCTGGGACATCACACAGGTAATGCACCAGAAAAAAAGGGGGGAAGCAAATTCTTAGTACAAAAGACTTACAACTAATAGTAAACTTCTGGGTTTGGGGTTTTAATATCTCTTTGTTGGATGGGGAATGACTCCAGCATGTGTTCACATAGAGAATTCCTACATTACAAGCTACAAGGGACACTGGAGGTGATCAGTTCTAACTAAGCCTTCCAGCGTACTGCTACCTTGTTCCTGTTGGAAAAGACTCACCCCTAGGGTGACACAAACATGTCAATTTTTTAAGATATACAAGCTGCACTGAGTTTCTGCGAAGGAATTTAAAAAACATGTGCACTTAAGCATGATGTTCCATCTCCCTTCCCCAAAAACACTGTGTCACATTAATCTGCTCTCAAATAATGAATGAGTGGAAGTATAGACATTTCCAGGAGCATTTAACATGCATTTGTTGGAAAAGCAGCACTGCCTTCTTCTCCCACTTATTTCTACAATAAGCAGAGGGCTTGTGACAGCCCAAGGGCATATGAGAGGCCATTTGTTAAAATGCTGGCAAAGAGTACTGGCATTGTGCATGTCAACTCCTGCTTTACCAAGGGTGGGCAGGGGGCAGCCAGAGCCTGAGTCTGTTGTGAGGCCTCAGAGATGAGATGGAGCAGGGTCTGCTCTTTTCACTGGAGTCCCCACCAGAAATTCCTGGATAGTACAAAGCAACCCCTTAAAATTTTTTCTGTCATTATTCCAGCCTGCAGTGAACCCTAGAAGCTGCTCAGCTGAAGTTACCAGTCACATTTTCTATTATTGTCTTCCAGTAACAGAGAAAACGTGCAGGCTGCAGCCACACTCAGGCACAGCTCCTGCTGCACCATGGGCTGGTCCTGGCACTGGCAGCAGTGAGAGAAAAGACAGCTGAGAAGAGACAAGAGACAGGAGAAACCTAGGAAAGAGAGAATGATACAAATGGTGAGGAATGAAGGAGCTGGATTTGGGTTTTTTCCAGCTTGCTCCACTGTCAAGTTTTCCTCAGCATGGGCCATTGGCCCCTTCCAGTATTGCTTACTGTGAAAAAAGGCACATGGAAAATGACACACCTTAGAGCCAGGCTGTTCTCACTAGGCATTTGGTGATTTTTTGAAAACAGTCTCAAGTAAAGATATTTACAACATCTCCTGCCTGCAAAGTGAATTTATCATCCTGACTTTTTTTGTCCTACTACAATGGATCCAGAATATTTTTTCTTCTTCTTCTTCTTCTTTTACTACTACAGAGTACTTCTTTTATTACTACTACTACTAGTTCTTGATGGGTTCAAATTTCAGATGGCTCTTTCTGCAGAAACCAGGGTACTGCATGGGAAGTTAGGCTACTGGGGAATAGCAGAGTTGCCTTCCATGTGTGAAAAGAACTTCTGGCGATTATAAGTGCTGCAGATATGCATCTCCCTCATTATTATTTTCTAATTCAGGCTTACAAAAGTGAAATGTTGTGATTTACAAGCTGTTCATGACCACAGTGTGCTGCTGCTGTAGCAGGGGTTGGGACCTCTGTCAGGCCATACAGAGCTGTGTTTCACAGGCAGGGGCAGCACACACCAGCTGTGCAGCCCCAGAGCTGTGCAGGGCAGCCAGCAGCTCGGGCTGGCAGCTTGTGGCAGCCACCGTGACATCTCCAGCAGCTGTCACAAGGCTGCCCTGCACGCAGGCCCAAAAATCTGGGTACCAGATACTCCCCTCTCCCTTCCTCCCAATACCAGGGGCCAGCTAACAGCAAGGGCAGTGTAAAAACAGAGCTCTAGGAAACAATTATTTGTGCATTTTCAACACTGTACTGTGGTTAATCTGTGCTTCCTTTTCAATGCTGTCAGGTGAAGGAAAGAGCCAGAAAGTATCTCAGAGAGGTACTGGTATTATCTTTGTCTTTCAGGTTTTTTTAATTAGGTCACTTCACAAAGAAGAGCTCTGCTGTTTAACATTTTTTATATGACAATCTCAAAGCAACTGATATTCAATTAATTCACAACCTTGCTCTGATTTTGGATTTGTTGTTCTCATTTTCACTGTAGACACCAAGGAGGAGAAAAGTTCAATCACTGGCCAAAAACCATGCAATTCAGCAGTAGCAGATCTAAGAACAAGGACTCAACATGCTGAATATACTCTGGCAGCTTCCTCAAGCTGAACAAGCAAAATCTTAGTTGAGGCAATACACACACTCTTGGGAGGATTTCAGCCGATATCTGAGGTCTTCTGAGCCTGCACAGGGAGGACTGATTTGCCCCCTTTCACACAAGGTTTTGCAAACTACATCACAACTTACCCTTGTGTGTGGGAATGTGTTACAGGACTGAAAGGGGCCAGCTGGAAAAGAGACAATTACTACCTTCTTGATGCACTAGTTGTTCCTAGCTCTTCACTAGGTGAGTTAGGCAGCTCATAATACCCTAAAGCATGGCCCTGTGATCTCTGGCCCTATGATGTCAAGTTAGGAAGAGGTTTCTAAAAGGACAGAGGAGATATATCTCTTAACATGAGTTTGATAAAACCAAACTGATTACCACCACCTCTTCTCAGTGAATGTGTCAATGTGAAGGTTTTAACCGAGGACCCATCAAGGGCAGGAGAGGAAAACACACATTTCAGCAGCTTGAACTCACCTCTTGAGTTTCTCCTGATGTCTAAAAAAACCAGGGGGAGCTTCCCTTTTGCACCCTCTGCTGCATATGAGCTCCAGATGCGTGCATGCTATTTTCAGTCAGAGGATACAGATGTCATTAAATATGCTGGTGATCTGCTCCAATCTATTGAAATTTTTTAAATCTGAGATCAACACCCAAAAAAAGTATTTGAAGACTCAGCATGAAGAGGGGAAACAACTGCAATGAAAGTTGTAGTTCCCATATTACCAAAACAAGGTGCAGGGCAGAGATCATACCTAGTACCATGAGCCCCAAGTCCTGACAATTGATTCGGGAAATCTTTCAGGACCTCTGGAAAAAGTAAAAAACATTCCAACATGGTGTTTTCTTCTCACATGGTAGTAGGGTCATGAAGTAGCTTTTTATGACCCATTCAGTTTTCCTTTTATAGCAGCCTATTTATATACTCCAATTCAGTCACAGCTTCCACTGTACTGATTACTACAGTGCTCATTTCCTCATTCTGAACTGCCCATGAATTTCTTTTCTTCATTTTTATTCTCTCCATATTAGATCTGTTAGCCTTGCATTACCCCTCCATGCTGTTGCTTAGCCTCTCTTAGGCTTCTTTTCTAGAGGTACTTGTCTCACTGACAACTAAGTAACCAATAAAATAAATGTTTTAAGAAAAGCTTTCCATCTTTTTACATTTTTAAACACATGAAGTTGAGCAGCGGTTCAGTATCACTCAAGTTAAAACATCCTCTTCCACTCTGAACAGGACATGAAAGTAAGACTTCTTAAAACTCACTATCCTTTCTACACTCCCATTTATTTACTGAGTTGGTGGGTGCCTATAGGCCACTGATCCTTTTTGCTCACAGCACATATTATCAAAGTCACAAACCTGTACATCCTTTGAAGACTGAAATCCAATGTAATGTTTTCCCATTTACACTAGACATAAGTTGTGCAGCAAACTTTTTAACAATGCTTCTGAATTCACAACACGCTTAGTCCAAAACTCCTGAAGTTAACACTTTTGCACTTGGGATTGTTAATGTTTGCTAAAACCCAAAACATTCTTCAGCTGACTAAAAGCTTTACATCCTTAGAACGTAAAAGCTAAATATAAATGTGGTGGGCGTATGTGGATCTCTTCTCTCTGAGGAGGCTCTGTTATGAATTTCCACTGTTTTACGCCACCACCAAGCCTCTGCTAAGCCACGACACCTGTTCAGAATTTTCAGCTTCTTAACCCCTTATTACACTTCCTACCATCCACAGAAGTGCAGGAAAAGAGTTCCATCATCCTGGATTTGCTGTATTAATTCTCCATGGCTCCTCAGTGTCCTTCTGTATTTTATATTAATACCCACCTTAAGGACAACTAACTAAATGGATGAACTTGCCTCCCTCATAACATATGCCAATAGATTATCTGGTTATCAAGCAGAACCTGGAGAGAAAGCCTAAAAATTCCATAGGAGGAACATCAAAGATAATGCTGTTAATAAATATTGTTACTGATAAGAATAAATGCTTTATATCAAAATGAAACAGCACTACAGCTTTTACGTAACATTATGCTAAATGCATTCTTATCATTCACATCAATAAGAATTCACTATTTTTAGGTTTGGTTTATTTAGCAAACATTGGCAGTGCACAGTGCTACTGATGACCAAAAGTTCTTTTAGCATTACTATATAGACACTCTTTTTAACATTTCTGCAAAAAATAAATCACGAGGATATCTCCTAAGTCAAAAGTCAAAATACCCTGTTGAGACAAAGTGCCTCAATAAGAAAACCTGTTTTAAAAGACTCTTTTTCATTAGAAACCACATATATCACTCAAATTAACCACAATATGAATTTTGACCTGATTTATTCACACAAATGCATCCAAGTTCATTTTAGGCCCAAAATATATATCATAAGGATATCAGTAAATTTTTCCAGGTACTAGAGAATCTTGTATAAATGAATCTGTTCGAGTGCTTCTCTGTCAACATCCTTTTCTATATACACATCATAGTTCAGCTGCACCTCTTCAACCCATTGACCGAGCTGTATATCTGTCTGAAACAATGAAAGGAGATCCTTAAATCAACACCATGTTAACAAACAGCAGGACTTTTAAGGTTAAGGAGTTTCAACATTAAGAAGGCAAGACATAATATGA